TTCCGAAATGAATTGTTACGCATATTTTAATCATTTGTAGAGTTTATGCTGTGATATATTGCACAGTCGTCAGCGTAAAGTCGCATCTTAGTGGGCACATAACGTGGCAAATCATTAATATACAACAAAAAGAGTAATCACCCAAGAACCCATCCTTGCTTAACGCCTGATGACGCAGCTACACTGTTGGATTTGGATCAGTTAAAATAGGCAAACTGCGATCGAAACGAAAGAAAACGAGATATCCAATTGCCCAGGGAACGTTTGTTTGAAGTTAGGTTAAGATTATGTAGAAGTATGGAATGACGAACTGTGTCGAAATCTTTAGACAGATCTATAAATATAGCATCAACTTGGTTACCTGTGTCAAGAGACTGACCGACATAATAAACAAATTATGTTAGTTGTGCCATTGTGCTACCACCGCGTCAAAAGCCGTATTGAAAACCGCATAAAAACTAGTTTTGAGAAATCTATAACATATATGATGTGTTCTAAATATTTACACGAGTGCACAGTTACAGGGTTTGGTTTGTATTTTGACAGTGGGTGTACAGTGTGCTCAACTGTTAAATATAACGCGGGAGCGGTGGCCGAAACTGATAGCAGAGCTGTCTAGCGATTAAATCAATGATGCGGCGGAGAATAAGGCGGCTCTTCTTGCCGGTTGTCGCCACTCCCCGATACAATTCTCTCATGATCACCTTGTTTCTTTCTTTATCGCCCACGCTTTAAATTTTTGTTTTTGACACCTACGCATTTAGCACGCGGGGCCATATCTCGGTGATCTTGCAGTTTCTCTGAAAAAAGGCCACCTCCTTTAAACAACAAAAAACAAAATCAAAGAGTGACTTCTTTATTTTTTATCTCCGACTCATGCATGGATGATCGTTTCGGAACTGAGAGTGTAACTGCACAAAGCAACAGCTGCATAAGCTGCCAGGGTAAGCCGGTAGATGACGCATGCACTCTCTGCGGCCACCGCTCCCGCGTTATGTTTAACAGTTGAGTACACTGTACGTCTCCAGATTTACATAATGGAAGGATTTTCGCGAGTTTTCAAGACGAAGGGACTATAGCCGTTTGAAGCGACTTTTGAAAAATAACCGTACGATACCGACAGCACCAAAGAGAGTATCGGACAATAAACTAAAATAAATATGGTATGTCATCAGTACCAGGACATTTTTTAGTATCTAAATTAAAAACCATGTTTTGTACACCCTGAACGCTCGGAGCTATGTCATTGAACACAGGTTGCGAAAGATGAGTAAAAAGAGGAATTTCGAAATTGTCAGTGCGTCATTAGTAGTCACGTCATTAATTATAAACGAATTAGAAGTCGTAATGTTCGGTAAAATAAATCACCAGAAGTTTCTAAGATTGCTTTACATTAACCTTTGCAATGTAACACAACAATAGAAGAACTTCACCGAATTAGTCCATATCGAAGTTTCTTCTTGGCTTTATGAACTGAGGTCTTTACAGTATCAGCGCAACATCTTCCAGGACGATGTATACAGCCACGTCGCAATAAGTGTAATAATCATTTTGCAATCCAAGGAGTGGCAATGCAGTTGTTTTTTTCTGAGCTTAGAGTGGCAGAAACCAATGGATACAGGATTTATCTAAGTTTTGATAAAAAGTTACGAGAACATTCACAACACGAGAACTACTAAGTTGTTCAAACATTAGAAAAAAAAACATCCCTTCAGGGGATGCCCTTTGAACGTTCTAATGAAGCGATGCAAGAGGATCCCTTCATTAGAACGTTCTTTCAAACAAACGTGTCACCTTCTTTACCTTCTTTTCTAGTTTCGTGCCATGGCGGCGAAAAGAAAATATTAATTTGATATCAAAAGGAGGTGGTTGATGCAGGTTTGTTTTTGTCTGCCCATTTTTCTTTTGAATACTTGTCTGGTGTCAGTAAAAAAACGCTTATACGCGATTTGTTGACCAGTTTATTTCCAATCCCCCTGTACAGAAGTATCGTTCCCAGTGGGGGCCAAAATGTGCTCAAGCGCGCAAAAAAAGGATGATTTTGCCCCCTTCAGTAAAAACTTTATTAATTTTTTAATTTGCACTCTAGTACGTTGACGGCGGTCTTAGGTAGTAACGCGTTACTGTAATATTGTTACTTTTTGGTAACTTGTAACTGTGACGAGTTACTTTTTAAAAATTTAACTTCTAACTGTAGTTCTATTACTTTTTTCTGGGGTAACGATGAAAGTAACGACGCTACTTTTGTCGTTACTTTCCAGTGCTTTATGAATAATATATCACTGAACGAGTACAATTTAGATATTGCTTGCACTTTCCAAATCGTCTATTCCGACATTTCGAGTGTCAAGTTGGCCTTGCACAAACTTGTGAATACTTTCTTTCTTACGAGTCACGACCCGAATATAGCCACGTGTAGACTTCATGAAAAAAAAAATCTAGTTATCTTTACGCACGCGCTTGTACTTTGTGACTGAACACTTGCATCTTAGTGTCTTGAAGCCCTATATCTATGTGTGTTTTTTTTTGTTTTCTTTTTTTTTTGTGAAAACGCTTTTTAATAAAATGAATCAACCGTGAAACAACAATACACGCGGAGGGCACTGAGCATGTTTCGTATTTTGATTAGCGCCAGTACTCCGCACTGCGCTTGTTTCGTATTTTGATTTGCGCCTCTACTCTGGCGTGGAAACTTTCAAACACTAATTTCGAGGTGCAACTTATGCTAAGTTAAAATGTGAAGTAAAAAGCGTACTGCTTTTAATTTTATGCAACAAACTTGGTGAGGGGCGTTTTCTAGTTTTTCCTAATATTTTTGCGTTATAGAAAAGTAACTGAAAAGTAACGTTGTTACTTTTTAAAGGTAACTGTAACGAGTTACTCTTTTGTTGCGGTAACTGTAACGGTAACTTCGCTACTTTTTCCTGAAAGTAACTGTAACTGTAACGAATTACTTTTTAAAAGTAACTTACCAAGCTTGGTTGACAGTAAAGAAACCCGAGACCATCGAACATGCATCCATATATCGCTAAAACGCTGTTTTTCTTCTTTTTTTTTTTTTGCGCGGGCGGGGGGGGGGGGGGGAGGGGGGGAGGGGATGCGCTCTCTGAAGAAACAATTGTGCATTACCGAATCCAGCATACGGTTTTTGAATGTAAGTAATGATGATGGAGTTCCGTACGACATGTTTATGTTATTAGGCTTCTGTAGTATCTCAAGGTCGCTCATGGCTGTCCGTCATGCCGACTCTAATGCGACGGAAGTGCGGCTTTATTTATTTTTTTTTTTTCAAACTGGTTAAGCAGGTTGTAAATTGTGTTTTCAAACCGGATTACGAGACTAGAGTGGCTCGACGTTTGAAAACTGTTCATTGAGATGGGAAGCTTTGAATGTACTCTACAAAAGACTTGCCGAGTGTATTAATGTGGTTTGACCAATGTTGCTTTCAAAAAAAGTGTCTGCGTGGCCTAGTAGGTAGCGCGTCTGACTCGCAAACAAAGGGTCATGGGTCCAAATCCCGCCTGCGTCTGAACGTCTTAAAAAAATTTCTTTAAGCACGTGAATTACTTTATAAAATGAAATTATTTGAGACATGCAGCTACCCTTAATAGACCGATCTCACTAAGCGTTCAGCGCACGCATGACGCCGTCATACCTTTAGTTCACAGGAAGCATGCGGCCATATATGTGAGGGCTCGTGCTCCACACGCGCAGAGCTATAGCGGGGTTGGCGCGGGTCCATATCACAAGAGCGAATGACATTTTAGCGAACGGCGACATTTGAGCGAATGGTCGTTTTAGCGAATGACGGGGGCGCGCGTTAACCCATCCGTCGCGCTGCGCTTTACGCCGCTTCGCGGCGACAGTCTGCGGCAACTCATTACAAAAATATGAACTCATTTGGCCCACCCGAAAACGCCGCTTCGCGGCGTCCGACTATTCGCTAAAGTGTCATTCGGTGAAACGTGGGCGTTCGCTAAAACGTCATTCGATCAAGTGAGTGCCTCCCGGTTGGCGCATGTCCAGAAAGAGTAAAGTTCCCTTGATTACTTGTGACAGCGGGGGCGTATTCAAACTGACTGGTGAGATCGGCCTATTCACATTACATGTCATGTTTTCATGAGTTTCATGCCACGCGTGACGTTACGTTTCTCGTGGGCGTTCTGGGTTGTTTGAAATTCCCGCGCAAGGTCACGTGGCTGTGACGTCATGACTTTATCGACCAATCAGGATTTTCCCGTCCCACCGACGCCCACGCCAACGCCGGATTTTCTGCGACACGAGCTCCATAACGCTCTCACGTTAAGATATATATCGGGTGAATTCCCCTAAATACTCAATTTTACGCATTATAGCACTTTGAAGATAAAACTCGCCGCCAATTTTTCTAGTATAAGTTTTAGGTCGGATACAGGATCGGCCAGGCAAAAAGGCTTCTCCACAAGCTCGCTCCGCCTCTAGGATTTCCCGCCACAGCGATGTCGAGCGATCATTGACAGCGTCCGCGTTTCTTCTTCGGGTGATTGACGGACCTCAGTGAGGTTACTGCAATGTCTCGCTTCAAAAGCGAGGACGCTTGTTTCACCGTCTCGCTCAAAGGGCGTGCCGCTGCTGCGAAGCCTAGTTTTGCGACACGAGGCTCGCCAAAAAGATGCACCGCGTGACTACAGCCTACAAATCTGTATCGCCCTCATCGCTAGAAAAAAGAGGGGAGGGGGGGTGGGAGGGATTGCTCGGTTTTGATGGTTTCTAATGCGTACTTGTTATCTAGATTTCTAGTTGGTCAAATAAGAGTTTGATTTTTGAGTATTATTGATCGAACCCTGGTGTTCATAGTTAACCATGTTCCCTTTCGTCTTTTCGCGGTCGATTTATTACTGTTCTTCAGAGCTGGAAAATTGGAAACGCGGATCAGTAAGTCTTCATTAGCCGGACGCACTGTATTGTTCATGATTAGACGTGTGACTTAAATAACACTAATGAATAAAATACGCATACAGAGACCTTTTGAAGCCTGATGTCCGCGGCACAAGTCCTCTCGACATGACGCAGTACAAGAACCTTTTTGGCTCTTGTCGCGTGCCATCTGGTGTATGTGACAAAGTTCAGTTCACCTCGACAGACGACGAGTCTTCAAGGAATGTGCTGGTCATCAGCAACAATCAGGTATGTGAATGTTACGCTTACCGAGTTCCATCTACGTACGTGATAAACTTGCAGCAGATTTGGCGAAAGAGGAATAGTTTCTATTAGGGGTGTCGCGAACCGGCCGCGGTTCGAGTTCGACCAGGTCGACGTTTTCGAACTTTTAGTAGAAAGTTCGTCGAACCTTGTATTGAGGTTCGACTCGTGTGCGCATGCGCGACAGGCTGGCCAGTTGGCTTCGGATTGGATGGTAATGGCTAAGAGATGAATTAAGTGCAGCGCTGATCGGCTATTTCAGTCAATACAGTACTAAAATTTAAGTTATTAACTTCTTCAGTGAATAGAATTAGTTTCTTTTAATTGCAGTTGTTCACACAATAAAATAACCTGTTGCATAAAAAAAGAAATTCTCCAAACCTAGACATGCTTGTATCAAGGTCTGGCCACACTGTCCACAAAGTCGAACCGGTCGAAACCAAAAAATCTGGTTCGACAAAAGTTCGCGACACCCCTAGTTTCTATGAGTGCTGCAGTTCCGCAAATTTGGCATTCTCGATACATTGCGGATACTGCATTGGCTTCATCAATAAAAACCAAAAAAGTAAGCAATATCTGTGTAACCTACATTATAATCAACGACTGCGCGGGGTAGTCAAATTACTTTTTTGTGGCTCTGACTACCGCAAAGGCTTGCCATATAGCCTTTAACAAAGAGACGATGCCCAGTCATTAAAAAATGGCCAACCATCCGCGGATTACAATGAGGGACGGTTAATTGGAATCACAAATTCAAGCGCCGGCAGTCCTACAATGATAACAGTAACTTAGATAACCAAAAAAAGAGTGCATTTTTTTTCGCCTTTTTCGATAATGTAGTTTTTGTTCAATGTTAAATTTGCCAGGATGAGTATGTGATGTAGATTTTCCGTAAATGTTTGGGAGAACAACTTAGGTGAAGAACGTGAGCAGCAACACTGGATCGCATTTCTGTTTAGATTAAAAATTAACACAAAAAATAATTGAGTAACGCAGGTTTCTGTGGTTACCAGATTTATAATACTGATTTGTTTCTTATTTGCGCCGCTATTAGGCGCAATTGCGTAGCAAATGAGAAGCCACTGAAATTGAGTTTCTGATCTGGGCTAGCGTAAAACTGAAACCGAAAATGAATTTAGTCGGGCCACGTGAAGGTGACTTCATGACAATCACTCCACGGAATATTGCTTTCCAAAGCAATGTATTAAGAAAAGCAGCGTCGGTGTCCAGCTCTTGTACACCCAAAATGTTCGAAAAAACTATTTATATTATCAAGTAAGCAGTATACCTAACTTGCCCAAATTGTGGTTGAAAATTTGTAGGGATATTTATTTATTTATTTATTTTCATACTCTCAATGCCCGGAGGCTCTACAGAGAGGAGTGGGTGGTACAGATGAAATCGTTTGCAAGCTTCTTGAAGTATGTGACGTCCTGGATGGACACGATGGAGGCAGGGAGGTGGTTCCATTCGTTAGATGTTCTTGGAATAAAAGAGTCAAAATAGATGTTCGTATGACATGTCGGCGTGCCAACCTTACACTGATCGTGATCGTGGCGAGGTGACACATATGACGGATGAAAAAATAGTTGATCTTTTAGAATTGGATTAGAATAATAGACTTTATGGAAAAGACAAAGACGAAAGTATTTACGGCGTAAAGCAAGGTCAGGTAAGTCCAAAGTTGTCTTCATTGATGAAACACTAGCAGTACGAGAATAATTAGAAAGGATAAAACGGGCTGCTCGGTTCTGGACTGATTCGAGAATGTGTGATAATGTTACATGACCCGGATCCCAAACGGAACAGGCGTATTCGAGTTTTGGCCTGACTAAGGCTTTATATAATTGCAGTTTGACGGGAAGATTAGCGGAACGAAAATGGCGCCGCAAAAACCCAAGCATACGATTAGCATTACTAGAGACATAGTCGACGTGCATGTTCCAGGAAAGGTTATGAGTTATGTGAATACCAAGATACTTGTATGAAGCAACAGCATCTAATGGTATATCATTAAGGATGTATATGGCAGGGTCAGTGTTTTTAGAGAGTCGCGAAACACGCATGCTTTTACATTTAGTAACGTTAAGCTTCATTAGGGATTCAGCGCACCAAGAAGAAACTACGTCGAGGTCTGACTGTAGTATAGCACACTCTTGGGCATTAGTAATTACGCGATAAAGTACACAGTCATCCGCGAACAATTTAATAGAGGAGACAATTTGCGATGGGAGGTCGTTAATGTAGACTAAAAACCAGAGAGGCCCTAGGACAGATCCCTGTGGTACCCCGGACGTTACAGGAGTAGTAGAAGAATTATGCCCATTGACAGAAACATATTGTGAGCGGTTAGATAAAAAACATTTAATCCAGCCCAAGATGTTAGGATCGATATTAAGTTTACTCAGTTTCAAGAGAAGTAGGTCGTGCGAGACAGAATCGAAAGCCTTAGCAAAATCTAAGAAAATGCAGTCAACTATTAGCCCGGCATCAATGGCAACCATCAGGTCATTAGTAAACGATACGAGCTGTGTTTCACAAAAAAAAAATTTTCGGAACCCGTGTTGACAATTAGTAAAAAAAGAATTGGACTCGAGAAAGGCAACAAGGTGAGAGTAAATGATATGTTCAAGTAATTTACACGGCACACTAGTCAATGATATGGGCCTGTAGTTAAGTGGGGAGTGAGCAGTACCTGATTTATGCAAAGGAACCACCTTCCCTACCTTCCAATCGTTGGGTAACGTGCAACAGTGCAAAGACTGTGAAAAAATTTCGGAAAGAATCAAAGATGAATAGGTGGCGGTGCTCTTCAGGACCGTGTCAGTAGTTTCTTTAGAAATGCCTAGTGTTAATATGTTGGTTGTGAGCGTGCGTTGCATTGCTTAAATGCGCCTCTATGCTTGTGCGCGGGTTGATATTCGCTATGCTTGTTTTCATGTTGTGCGGACTCGTGTAGGTAACCGTGGTAACAAAAACGTATATTTTTATTTTAGAGTCCGCGCTAGGTGGCGCAGGTCGCCACCTTATTCGAAGAGCCGACGTTCAGCAGCCTTTTATCTGTTTACTATGGAAGACGGGATATGAAACATATCCCGTCTTTAATTTGATATCAAATGTAATGTTCACAACACTCAGCAACCTGAACTCCAGTTCTGTACGTACGCCCGCATGTGTACGAACATGTAACTCACGTCTGTTCTGTCGAGCAAAACAGCTTGAATGGCAGGCACTTGCCAGCCTTATTTCTCACAATGGAAGATAACACAAAAAACGGTATTCAGCACGCATAAAAAAAATTAAGTGGAAACTTTCAAGAGAGGCGAAAAAACGTCCAATGCAAAACCGCAAGAACGTAGGTAGAGAACCGCGCTGAGCGGGTCTTCACAGTCCATGAGAGTGGCGAAAATTTCTTGCTGATAGAGGGCGCGAGAGCCGCACCAACCGCATTAGCATCATAGAGTAATTAATATACACAAGGTCAAGAGCGGACACTGCCATAGGCCCCAGCGGCCCAGATAGACCGGTGACAGTTAGCGCTCCTAGCGGGCGGTATTAAGTATAATCTGATTCCGTTTCCGGTCAAGTTAGTTTCGGTTTCGGTTTGGGCGTTTCTGCTCCGGTTCTCCGGTACACTTCTCTCTCTCTCTCTTTCCTCCCCGCCTCGCTTGGCTCTCGGGAGCACCTTGACTCCCAAAGCCGCTGTTTTTGTTTTTTTTTGTCTTTTTTTAATACTGACGCACTTTTGCTTTGTTTTTTACGATAGAGTCCGTGCAAAATGTGTCAAACAATATTTCAACTTACTTCACAAAGCAGAAGTATATATATTTCTTGTTCTTTTTATATTGTAAAGCATTGAAGTTACACAATCACCGCATTGACTCCTGGCTGGTGGAGCATTTTGGGGTCAACAACAGTAAGTAGTTCGAACACATTTTATTGAACCACATTAATGTACACATGATTTACTTCAGAAGCTCTGTATGTTTTATACGAAAGAGATCGATACTCACAAAAATAAATGAATATGAAGGACTTCGGCATTCGTACACTTCGTAATAGATTCTTAGCGGAACCAAGTTAACAAAACCCATCCACGGAGAACGTGCTGTATGATACATTCACTTTCACGCCAACTCGGGTACGGGAAGTAAGTGCAAAAATAAATAAGACATCGCTATCATTTCCAGTCATAAAAGTATAATAACAGTGCGAAGCACACGCCGGATAGTACAAATTCCCGATTTCCGGCAAATATAAAAAAAAACACCAATTTGCATAGCCTCAAGCTCACTGCGGGCGAGCCATTACCAAACAATGAGAACTCTATTCGAAATCTGACAAGATTCAACGTCCCTAAATATTCCCCGAAATTGTTCAGAAAAGAAATATGGCTTCAGAAAAAAGCGGCTAAAAAACTATGGACAGTGAATACAAAAGTGGATACATTTTCTTTCAGATATTGTTAACCTCTATACACTATTTTCTACCGAATTTTTTTAGAAAGTGGACAAATATTTTTGTTAGGGAGCCGTGATACACATTCGCTGGAAAAAGGGGAAACAAATATTTGGAGAGCAAGCTGCACCGCCCACTTAATCACTTTTTGTTTTTGGTTTGGCAACCGCCTCTGTTAATACGCTATTAACAGTTAAACCTGTCTCGTTCTTACTAGCCACTGAAGAGTGCAACCGAACTTTGTCCGAATTCCGGTTAAGAAGTCAAACATATCAACACAAGCGTATTCTGCAAAACAATTTTAAAAACCCTTTGTGGTACTCCTCTGGGCAAAGGCGAAAACCACCCAAACCTCAAAGTGTGCTATACAAGGCGGCACGCACTCCTTGAACATGTGTCACACTCTCTATTATGGGAAGAAAGTGATTTTCTGGTTGCTGAATGAAATGAAAGGCAGCCTGTGATGGTACTACTAAGTTCCCGAAGAATTTTCCAGGCACGTGGTATGCTTTAAGAACAAGACAGTACTGGTGAGGCCTGGTCAAGTTATTAGACTCATCCGATAGCAGCTGAGAACAGCCACACCTGTAAGTTGTCTGTTCAAGCAAAAGCTTGATCAAATAGCCCCAAACGTAATAAAAACGTGGACGAGTCATCAATTATGTTAGACCTGATGTCTGATGCCAGCTCAGAAATATCCTCTAGTGGCGGGAAGTTATCAATTGGAAGACATTCCACAATGTCTGAAATTAAACTTTCATGGTGCGAAGATATTTTCAACTCCTTTAGGAGGTCAGCCTTGTCATCTTCTACGTTTTCATTGTCCGACAGTTTGAACAGTTTCTTTATCCAGAGGTGTTTTAGTCCTGAGGTGAACTGATGCACATTTGGGTTTGTGTTGTGGCTCAGCATTTGTCGTATATAGCTCCAAAAACGTTCTCGAGTGTGTCTTGCTGCAGGCGTCGTGTAAGTAAGAACTTAAAGTCATGGCTGCTTGAAAACTCATCCCAGAGCATGAGGACACTTTTTATAGTAACTTGCACCCAATGATGGCTTATGGCTGCCTCCTACTTTGGAATTGCCATGCTGAAATCTATCCGAGTTACTGGTGGAGAAAATCAAGTATTTGAGATTCTCCCTTCAGAATGGCATGATGCAACTTCTGCCCTGTCTTCTTGAATTTTTTAGCTATTTAGACAATCAAAAAGTATGCACATCCTATCACAGAAATAGGCTGTAGCCATGGCTGCCTCAGAAGTTCCTTTGCATAAACAAGAGATATGATTACAAAAAAGATTGAGGCACTCAGTACCTGTGGGGCACAATTTTCTTCCATGTTACAGAAAGGTTTTTGAATAAATGTGTCTCTCAGTAAGTTTCGGAGTCACTTGCAAGCTAATCTCATAGATAGAACAATGAAATTCAACAATAGAAGACCGCTCAATGACCTCATTTCCAATGCAAAGTTTGTGGGCTTGGAGATTGCTCTTGGTTGTTTTGGGAAGGTGCGGAACATCAAAGACAAAGTAAACGTGTTCGTTGTCAACTTCAAAAAATGGCTTATCACCACACACACCAAGCTTACGTTTGAAGCCCCCTAACCACAGACCACAGCCTTTACTGTGAAGCCAACAGTCTTAAAGGGGCGATGCACTGATATTTGTATTTTGCGCAAATACCGCTTAGAACGAATCCCTGACGTTAATGATCCGTAAAATATACCCGTTCGTTTTCACCACACGCAATCGAAGTCGCAGAAAAAAATAAAGAAAAACGAGCAGAGTTCACCCCCTCAACTCGCAGCCAGAACAAGCGGCCCCGTGATCTGGAGCCGAGTATATGCCGCCAATGTTGATCGTAGCCACGCGCTGGGATTGGCAAAGCACAGGACACGCGCTGAGTTCCAGACATTGTTATGGTTCGGCTGTTGTCGTCATTGCAGCGATTTGACACAGGACACTACCCGAATGTTTCTCGAGCTATCGATTATCACGAGCCCAAATCGAGTGTCCACGCCATGCTCGGGTCCAATCTATGAGCCGTAATCAAATATCGTCACTGGGCGGTACTGCTACCGTCCAGCTATGTCATCAGGTTTTTCGAAGGAAAGATTGAATAAAAACACTGGGTTTTGTCCTCGAAATTACAGCGCAACAGAGGAGTTTCTTGGTCAGTGGCGTCGCGTGCGAGTATCCTTGAGTCCCACTAGTGCCAGTAAGCTCGTGTAAAGTGAAAAACATTCCAATTGAATATCATTGCACCGCCCCTTTAAGCTCCCGAATGAGAGAAATGAGGAGACTGCGTTAAACAGAAGACGTTGTTGGAGTGTGCACAACAGTGTGTGCAAACGCACCTCCTGGAAATTTCAGACAGCATAACAACCAAGGCTCATTCTGCAATGTTAGAGGTTCGTTTAACACCGTCATCTGTAAACCCATGGACAATGTCGTCTGCAAGGTCGTAAGTTAAATTCTTTTTTTTTAACAATCTCATCGAAAATCAACATGCACACACGTTCAAGTGCAGCCAGACAGCCCGGCAGAAACAACAGCGCGAGAAGCTCGAACCGATCGGCACCACGAATTCACGCCGAGCATGCGAGCACGCGGGCGGTCATGCGTCACCTTGATTGATGCAAAGTCGACCGAATATGATGCAGCAGAAAGCACAGATGACCGGCACGCACGGCACAGACGAACGACGCAGGGACGAGCAGAGGCCATGCAGAATGATGCAGAGGCGACGGAGTGCAGGCAGGCAGGCCATGGCAGGCGCCATTCATCACGTGGTTTTTGTGACGTATTTGATTTAATCTATTTAGTCGTTTTAAGTACTTTAAACAATTTTAAAGCATTGCCATTTAAAAAATAAATACTTTTCACAGAAAGAGTTTTAATTAATTTTAACCAAATTGTAGAAAAGCGCCACGTAGCGGAGGGTATGAAACGCACTATCTGGGCCGCGAATCGGCTCCTGTGTCCTCTCTTTACGTTTACTATATTACTCTATGTTAGCATCAGCAACATGGCGGCGGCCTAGGAGCGGTTTTTGGAAAGGTGTTAAAAGTGCGCCGGCGACTTCCCCTTTCTCCAATTTCGGTGGCGCGCAGTGGGTGACAGCGGGTGTCGATAGGGCGCGTGGCAAGCCCCACACCCTGTACACCACCCGCTCACGCAGCTTCGAGGCGACAGACTGCGGATAGCTTGTTACATAGAACTGACCCAACTGGGGTCACCCATACGCGCCGAATCGCAGCGCCCCGCCGGCGGCCCAATAGACCATTTGCAACACTCCCAAGCGCCCCGGCCCGCACTCGAGAACGGTGTTCCTTCAGCTCCCTAGTCATCGCTAAATTCAACCAATTCCACGGTTGCAGAGTTTTCAGCCAAATTCGGAGTCGCCTGAACAAGCGCCTGATTTACCCCAAGGACCTGTCATATCACTTTTAAAATTTCTTGTCAATGTCAGTATTTTTGATACTGTGCATGCAATCCACCTTTTAACCTGGCTGAGCTGCAGCGATCTCTTACATATTAACATTCTGGTGATTGTTGTTTCAGCAGGAATTACTTAAAAAGCCGAGAATTCACAACAACAAAAACGAGGATTTAGCTCAGAGTCCGCGAGGCTGCTTATAGCACTTTTAGAGTTTTTAGCTTAATATCAGCGTCTTTGAAGCTGTATGAGAATGATTATAATGTAAAGGCCCGTTCACACTCTTGCAACCGAGTGCGACCGAGAGAGACCAAACCGGTTTTTAAGCCTCTTGCGATCTCTTAGGACCAGCTCCGCTCAGTGCATCCGGTCCCAAGAAGTCTTTCTCGGTCGTACTCGGTTGCAAGAGTTTGAACGCGCCTTAAGAGATTTCTGCAGCCCATCCAGGTTGAAGCGCGGACAGCATGCACGGTATAAAAAACGCTGACATTGAGGAAAAAATTTAAAATCGATATGTCAGCTCATTGAGGTATATCCGGCGCTTGTTCGGGGTGACTCCGAATTAAGCTAAAAAACTGTGTAACCTATAGGATAGGGTCGAAATTACCGATAACTAAAGGTCCCATCGGCGCTTGGGGGATATAGTAATGTTCTATTACGACCTAGCCTCGCTGTCCCCCATTGCCCCTCGGTTGATAGGTGTTACGTCATGCGGCCGGCGTGCGGGTGCGCGCCTTGGACGCCCTGGAAGCTCTTACCATCGACTTTGGAGACCTGTGGACGCGTATTGACTACGGTTCTGTTCTTCGGCCTGCCACGCCGTTCTTGACGCGCAGTCGTCCTACCGTGCCATCGGCCCGTAAGCGCACGGTGTCGCCACTCCTGTATTCACAACATGCATGCACAACAACGAAATGGCTTTGTCATTTTTTGCGCATCACGCACACGTTCTTCATGCACATGCGCCGAATGACCTGGCGTGCCCTACACGAGGCAGAACGGGGGTTTCAAGGATGTTTACCCCTCGGAAAAGTGCCGAGGGGCTGAATTCACTATGCTTTCTTATATATAACCACTGCGCGATAATAAGCGTGGTGGCAGCAGTGATTTCGACCCATTTTTTTAAGTTCTGGAAAGAATACGTAAAGTGTAACGGAACCACGTTACACGTTAGTCGAAAGAAGTAACGTGAGCAAGTTACCGTTACCGTTTTTGAAATTTACCGAGTACGCTACCACGCAACCTGAAAAAGTAACGCGTTACCGGTAACGTCGCTACTTGTAACACGTTAGTGCCAACACTGAGAACAATGCGCTGATACAGAGATACATCAGTGCAAAGTTATGCTCAAGTCAGTGCTGCATAGTTCTATTTGATTTAGCCATGCAAAATATTTGCCCCCCCCCCCCCCCCCACCGGTCTTCATCCACTAACCAGCGACTCTAGGCTGAAATGTCGTATTTATTGTTGGGAAATGCGCAGTTCTTTAGGCGGAAATCGGTTACGCTAATGAATAACAACATTTCCTCACCGCAATTTATGTTCTGTATTGTGCAGTTCTTCGTGTTCAATGCACACGACGAGCGCGGTATTCCATTCAACGAAGGGACGATACTGACGCTGTTGCTTCGGGTTGCCGAGATGTCAAGAGGGGACGGCACCGCTCTCGGGATTCTAACAACCGAAGAAAGAGACGCCTGGGCTGAGGCCCATGAGAGACTCTGCCAAAGTAAGCTAAATCTTATTTCTGCTTCATTTTTATTTCTTTTTTCACTATACAGGCCGGACTATGCTTAGCGGAGTGAATGTTTGTGCCCATCAGCATGGGTTTATCAAGAGACGTTCGGTTGAGACCAATCTCTGTATCAGTCTTAATTATTAGCGACCTTATGTTTGTAATTGTTGTCAACTTGATGGTATTTATTTTGGCCTTTCGAAAGCTTGCGATAGGGGGAACCATAACTTTTCATTGCTTAAGTTTTCACTGATGGGGTTTTTCCCGGTTATCTTAGGGTGGTTTGAAAGGTACTTGACCGATCGACCCTGTGTTGTGCTTATTTTAAACTCCTTATCTGATTCTCTTTGTCCGTTATCAGGGCTCTAATTTGAGACCACTACCGTTTCTTTTAGAGCGCAGCTCTTAGGGGCCCGTTTCCAGCCTGAGCGGCGTCGGCGTCGGCGTAACCGGGGGGGGGGGGGGGTCAGGTGACCCCCGAGGTCACGTGACCCCTTCCCCGAGGTCACGTGACCCTCCCAGGATACGTGACCCCCCCCCGAGGTCACGTGACCCCCCCCCCCCCCCGAGGTCACGTGACCCCTTCCCCGAGGTCACGCGACCCCCCGCCCTCGAGGTCACGTGTCCCCACCCCCCCCCCGTGGTCACGTGACCCCCCCCCCGAGGTCACGTGACCACCCCCCGGTCACGTGACCGCCTCGAGGTCACGTGACCCCCAAGTCACGTCACCCCCCCCCCCCGAGGTCACGTGACCCCCTCCCCCGAGATCACGTGACCCGCCGGGGTCACATGACTACCCGCAGGTGACGTGACCCCCCTCAGTACCCTTCCCTACTCCTCCTCAAGAGCTGCGCTCTAATTCGGCGTTACAGAGATTTGTAAACGGCTTTCATTTTTTTTAATCAATTAATGAGCTACTTGTGCCGTCAATTCAAGGGTGTGGTTATTCGCTGATAGCATAAAGACTTTTATGAGTATCAGATCGATTGATGATTGCGAAATTCTACAAAGTGATGCCTCACGTATTCTAACCTTGTGCTTGGGAAATTGTTTGGTTAAAAATCTTGATAAAATGAAGGTCTTGTCTTTCAGTAAATAACGTGAGCTTGTGCCTTATTAATATTACCTTGATGGTAAGTTTATTGCACGAGAGTCAATGCTTCGCGATCTCAGAGTATAATTTCATAGTTCTCTTTCGTTTAGTTGTCATCTCACTCACATGGTCGGTTCTGCAGTTCGAATGCTAGAAATGATTAATCCTTTAACTAGGATGTTTGCAAGTCATGCTTGTATCCTTCTTTTATTTTGCTCTTTTATCAGATCAATCCCGAAGGAAAAATCCATCAATGTAACCCTGTTTGGCAGTCAATGTTTTCTAGTGGACCGCTGACTGTGCCTGACTGTACGTCAAGCATGTCTGATTGGCCAACAAGTTACTCTGACCGACAGTCAAACTCCTGTCACACTCCGCTTGTCGAGTTTCTGATGGTTCCTGGTGGCAGTCGGCCGCCGCGAAATGCCATCAAGAAGTCTTGGTGGCGATTCTGATTGTACATCGATTGTCTCTGACTGTACGTCAAAAAGCTTTGACGTGCAGACAGACGTAAGGTCAAGGGACATAAAATTCGTTCGGATACCACTATTTCGCCAAATCTATGAATACGAAAAATATTCTATGCACGAGAAAACGATTTCCGGACGCCCATAAAACCGCTGATGTTAGAGATATGACACGCAACCGACCGACGACCCTGATCAGAAGCCCGCCGAAACGCCGAACACGCCACTTTCGCTTCGCCCGTAGAGGCTTCGCCAGCTTCGCCGAGCTTCCATGAACGATCGCTCTCGACTCGTTTTATTTGCCCGCTTGCTCCAACCTGTCGATCCTGCCCAAGCTCTACAATGTCTTATGTTTTAGTAGAATTTCTACTCGACAAGACCCAGCCTGTCGTGAGTTCCGACGATGTAAGGAACTTTAGCGGTGTAGTTGAAGACGACAAGGTGTACCAGGTCTACTGGGCCAGAGACGCGCGAAGCAATGGATTGTTTTACGACGCGAAACTACTCTACATGGCAGATGAGTAGAACTGCAGTACGGCGATTGATGTAGGAGTGCTTTGCATAAAATGCTGAAGGCTTAACTTTCATATACAGCCGAAGCATTCTTTAGAGACATGCGCTCATTGTCGGAATCTCGCGCTGCAATACTAAAATGCTCCTGACTCGGTCCGAGAGGTTTGGGCTAGAAAGTTAATACCTTTCTATCTGGCATCGGCTAATGGCCTTACCGCTTTGTCGCACCTCAGTATTATTGTTTCATGAAGAGTGCAGACAAAAAGCATTCGCGAGCGTAGTTCAGATATGTCTGCTGCTCGCGTTTGTCCGTGGAAGCCAGCGCTGTCTGTCGTAGCATGCATGCCCGCTTTCTAGCTTCAACGGAGTCGCATAGGTTTTGTGAATAAAAGTGTAGATGGTCGTCCCGAAAGCTTCAGACATCGAAGGCGTTTCTTTGAAACATGCTTACGGTGCATGTGGTCCCGTTTATAAACGAATGTCCCTTTTGCCTGAAAAACGCAAATTTCAAAGGGGAAAAAAAACAAAGGACGGGCACACTTTTCCTGATTTTTGATGTCATGAATTACAATAATTTTAAGGATTTCTGAAGCGTTCACAGCCATGCAAGATGGCCACCTCGGCTTGTGAACCGTTTCATAGCCATCCAAGATTGCCACCTCGGAATTTGAGCTTTGTATAAAGAGTAAAGCTATACGGCACTCCGGAGTGCACTTTGGACGGAAAGGGCTATACGCACTCCGCTGAACTCGTATAAAACGAATGGTCGAATCGAGTTTCCTAAACGATGGCATAGCATAGGGGAGATTCCACTTCCGGACGCGATAGCGAACGGACGTGTCATGCATCGCTCCTCGCCAGCGGCGGCGGCCGTTATCGGCCGCGGTGATAACGTTGCCCCCGTTTTGAAGGAGCATCGTCTGCAGCTGCCGACATTGCCCACCGGTGAAGCGGCGAAACTCAGCGTGGTCCTTCACGCTGACCTCGAAGGGAGACCTTACCGCCTCGAAGACTTCCGGGACCCGTTGAAACAGGTGGGCGTCTTGTCAGACGTGGCGGGTCTGGGAGCCTACCAGATGAGCCACGTCTGGCTGCTCAAGTTGCGGACGCCGGAGGCCAAGGCGAAGCTGCTGCAAGCCAGGAGTCTTCAGGTGAAGGGGAAGACGTGTCTGCCGGTCGACCCCAACCGGAGGGAGCTTCGCGTCAAGCTCCACTGGGTTTCCTTTGACGCGCCTGTGGACTCGATACGGCGAGCCTTCGAGCCTTTCGGGGAGGTGAAGGAGGTTTCCCGAGAGAAGTGGAAGGTCGACGGCTTCGTTGACGTCGACTCCACGACCGTCGTTATGCGCCTGGCCCTCAAGGAGGGCGTTGCCCTCGAGAGCCTCCCGCACCAGCTCCGTGTCAGCGGAGGCAACGTTTTGGTCGTAGTTCCCGGGCGGGCGCCAATATGTCTCCGTTGCCGTCGCACGGGGCATATTCGCCGCGACTGCCGGGCTCCCCGGTGCACGGAGTGTCGCGCCTTTGGACACGAGGCCCGGGACTGCATCAAGACGTACGCCCGTGCGGCCTCCAGCAAGGTCACTGAGGAGTCCACGGAGCTGCTGATGGATGAGGACGAGGCTGAGCAGGCTGCGTCCCCGGCTACGTCAACGGCGAGCGTAGCAGCCACTCCCGAGGGTGTCGCGGAGCCGTCCGAAGTCGATGCCACGCCGGTTGCTGGAACGGCTGGCCGGGCCGAGTCTCCGGACGTTCCGTCCGTCGAGGCGTCGAGACCTGGGAACACGGCCACCGGCACGAGCGACGTCACCGCCCCTGACTTGTCAGGGGAATCGCCCATGGAAGACCAGGACTCTTCGGCAAGCGGTGCGGCCTCGAAGCGGACGCGGGACGACGGAAGCGGGGACCCTAACGTGACGAGCCAGGAAGAGCCACCCTCCAAGGCAGCGCCCCTCTGGAGAAGGCGGCTCCAAGTCAAACAGAACATTCCTGTGAAGGACCAGAAAGGGGCGCAACCATCCCCCTAACCTGGAGTGGCCGGTGGCTTTCGGACGTCGAAGTCCGCTTGTTGGACGGCCAACTTCTCAGAACTTAAGGTAGGCACCATACGGTCTCCCTTTCCCTGAATGGCAATTCGTCTCGAGGCAGCCTTACGCGTGGCCACGATTAATGTTCGTGGCCTGTCAGCCAGGCGTAGGCAGTGCCAGTTGAGCCGTTTATTTTCTGAGAACGAGCTTGATATTATTGCCGTTCAAGAAACCAAAATTGAAAGCCAGGAACAGACTGACCGTATGGTGCGAATTTTTCAGAATTATTTTAACGTTTGCGTGTCGCATGCTGTTGGGTTTTCCGCCGGCTGTTGTTTGTTTATTCGGCGGTCAATTGGAGTGGTAGAAACAGCCGTGCACTCTTGTGGTTCCGGGCGATTTGTTTACTGCGATTTTTCTTTTTCTAACGCTGATTGGCGCGTTCTCTGTGTCTACGCGCCGAATCGCGAAGGTGAACGCAGTTTTTTTTGAAAGCCTGAGCACGTATCTCGATTGCGAGCGGGTAATTGTTTTCTTGGTGATTTTAACTGCGTTTGTAGGCCACAAGATCGAGCGAGTCATGCTCCTGTTCGAGACGCGAGTTCCTTTTCTTTGAATGACCTTGTTTCGGGGCATTGCTTAGAGGACGTGGCGGCCTGTATGAATCAGGGAAATGTACAGTTCACGCATTTTCAAGGCCGGAGTCATGCGTGACTGGATAGGGTCTATGTTTCTCTTGATCTTTTATCTCTTTGTAGCGATTACTCTGTTAAGCACATGTCTTTCAGTGATCATGCGTTAGTCATGTTTACTCTTCGCAATAAGACAACATCACCTAAATGGGACTGGGCACTATGGAAGCTCAACAGTAGTATTCTTACGGATGAACCTTTTAGA